CGCATTCGTGCAGGTGGGGTAAGAGGACAAATGTCACAGCAGGCATGTCCCAGCGCTGGCTTGTGGAGGTCAGAAGACAAGCTCTGGGTCTCTGGCTCCCCACTGCATTGTGCTCGGCTAGCTGACTGGCAAACTTGCCTGCAGTTCTCTAGTCTCTGTCTTCTCTCTTCCAGTAGGACATCTGGGATTACAGATCTATTCTGCTTGCCTGGCTTTTACATGGTTTTGGTTATCTCCTCAGTGCTGGGACTGCCAACTGTGCTGCCATGCCCAGCTTTTTACATGACTAAAAGCAGGATCAAATGCCGGTCCTCATGCTTGCACTCTGCCAACTAAGCTCTGCTCCATCATCTCATCATTTAAATCTTAGTTCCATAGCCTCTAAGGAAGCAGTAACTCTCACAAAACACTCACTTCCTCCTTCCCACTCCACTGACTAACTTCGGGGACTCCCATTTGAGAGATTGCCTGAGCAAAAGTGCTATATTAGACCCAGTCTTGCTCAGGCAGTTGTCATCAATATGGTGAGGAAGGTGACATGTAATTCATCATAAACCTTGTGACTGAAGGTGAAGGAATAGGCAAGCCATGGTGTAGGGCCAGCATCATGAGCCAGAGGGTCACTGCCGTTTGGCTCTCATTTTGTGAGGTAAAATAATATAATATAGTTCTTTTATTTTGGACAAGGAAAGTGTTAATTCTTCCCTTATGAAGTATGCGTTGGGCTTTCCGAGAAAGGTGGCTTAATTGTTACATAGGAACACATTGCAGGCCAGGCGTGGCAGCACATGTTCATAGTCAGCGCCCAGGAGACCGCAGTGAGAGGGCCACAGGTGAGACACTCTGAAAACTCAAGAAATGAATCAACGGGAACTTCCACCTGCGTGTGGAGTGACACTGAAACCAGCTCTCCTTAGCGAGAGAGTAAAAAGGCAATCCTACCTAGTTCACAATGAAAAGTAAGACTTCAAATAGTTGCTGTCTACTCCGAAATTATGCAGACATGATATTGGAAGACCATCCCACTGGGGGGAAAAAAACTTCTTTAAAAATAATAATGAATTCAAAGCTAAATTTTATATGCTCGGATTCATTACATGTTTTTAAAATAATTTAGCCGTTTAACAGTCCATGCTCTTCTCCCAGTGGCAGTGTAACTAGAGAACAGCCTGTTGATTCAGGGGGAACAAACTTAGAATAGCAGGATTGGTGCTGGAGACACAGCTCTTGTAGAACACTTGTCTAGCATACATAAGACTCCATCCTTAGTAATGCAAAAAAATTCTTTTAAGTAATAAGAAACTTTAAAATGCAATGTAAGCTGGGCGGTGCACACCTTTAATCCCAGCACTCAGGAGGCAGAGGCAGGCAGATCTCTGTGAGTTCAAGACCAGCCTGGTCTACAAGAGCTAGTTCCAGGACAGGCTACACAGAGAAACCCTGTCTCTAAAAACACAACAAAAGCAATATAATACAGTTTTGTAGTCTTACCTTTGACTATAAACCAATAGTTTTACTATTTTGGTTACTTTTTTATTTACTTTGTATTGTGTGTATAGGCATGTCTGTGTCACGGTGTACATGTGGTGGTCAGAGGACAGCCTCTGAGGGTCAGTCCTCTCCTCCCACCATGTGGATCCTGGAGATCAAACTCAGGTTGTCAGGCTTGGTGGCAAGCATCTTTACCCCATGAGCCATCTCACTGGCCCTAGAGTTAGATGGTGCTTGCAAGGTTAAATTAATTGGATGCTTTTTTTTTGTTTCCTTTTTCTGGTGTTAAAGATAAAATACAAATTGTCACACATGCTAGGTAAACACTACCCTTGAATCTACCCTAGCCTAGAAGTGGCCTCCTTTTCAAGAAAATTTAAATGTAGCAAAAACTCAGGTCTACATACAGGGTTTTTATTTTCCACAATTGAAAGCTTATACACTGAAATGTATAAAGGGTTACTATCTCAAAAATTATAAATACTTTATATTTATATAAGGGAAGAATTAACACTTTCCTTGTCCAAAATAAAAGAACTATATTATGTGTGTATACATCACATGTATACACCAGTAGAACCCCAATTCTTAACTGGCACTGGCCAACAACCTATAATGAGTGTTTTTACTACAAAGTCTGATAAAAATGATTTTTGGTCATACATATCCTTCATTATTTGGAGGGCAAAATGATGTAAGTGAAAGGTGCCTGTCAGCAGGTAGGATGCAGTGGCTGCTAGTCTTTATCTGTGGCTGTTTTTATTTAATCCTCAGGTGTCTTTTATATCTGACAGCAGTCATCCTAAACAAGATAAATCACCCATGAGTGATGACTTTAAAAATTCTGATATAAACATAGACTTTACCCAGCTGAAGCTTGATGATAAAGGTAAGGATGGAAATGTGTTGTTTATGTAGCTTCCAGAAAACACGTAATGTGTCGGGCATTGTGGCATACACCTTTAATCCAGCACTCAGGAGGCACAGGTAGACACTCTGAGTTCAAGGCCAACCTGGTGTATATAGTGAGTTCCAGGAGGGCCAGAGCTGCATAGTGAGACCCTGTCTCCAAAAAATAAAAAGCCAGAAAACATGGAATGTTTAAAATGTCTCCAGTCTTTACTAGTTTTCCCTTTCAAAGATTATAATTCCAGATGGTTGTTAGTTTTAATGAGCTGAAGAACTGGAGCATGTTTGCTGGGTTTGCAATGTAAAGATGACTTCATCAATAAAGGGTAACTGATGAAACTGAGGGAGGAAGGCTTTCGATAGATACACTGTGCACCAGTGTCCAGTGCAGGAAACGGGAGCGGAAACCTAGCGCTGAAAAGAGCTTTGTGTTCGGTGCCTGCTGACAGGACCCGGTCAGAGACTGCCTGGCTCTGTGCCACTGTGCTCATCTCTAGGTCACACACAAAGGCCATCCTTTTCTTGACAGAGGGGTTTATAACTGTGTTCCTGATAGATAGACATGGTTCCTTGTGCTCAATGCCTTAGAATACAAAAGCGTTCGTGAAGTAAGTGAAGACTGGTTTGACGCAACGGAGAGGCTGACTGGAGTTGACTTCTCGGGACCTCAGGAAAATGAAAGAGAACATGACGAATGGAACCCAAAGAGTCCATTAGGTTGGTTCTTCAGAACTGCAGGAAAATCATAACCTAGCTTATCTAAAACTGGTGCTTGCTTCTACATTGTTTGGGGGAGACAAGCTATAAAAGTGTGTTTTGTTCCTCTTTGTACCTGTTGCTTACTTTTTTTTTTTTTGTTTTTTGTTTTGTTTTGTTTCTTGAGCCAGGGTTTCTCTGTAGCTTTGGAGCCTATCCTGGCACTCGCTCTGGAGACCAGGCTGGCCTCGAACTCACAGAGATCTGCCTGCCTCTGTCTCCTGAGTGCTGGGATTAAAGGCGTGCGCCACCAATGCCCGGCTTTGTTGCTTACTTTTTAAAAGTGAGAAAATTGGGCAGTTGGAGGTGAATTTTTAAAGAGCAAATAGTTATTAAATTCTAATTTCTTGAGACGCAATGCTCAGCCCATGGGACTGCGCAGCTTTAATGGACTGGTGAAAGGAGAGGAAAGGTGCTTCTGAGTGTCCGTCACTGCTGTTTGCTACTGCAGCTCCAGTGTCAGCATCTAAACTGAAGGAAGGGCTTCTTCATCTTCTCTCCAGATCGCTGAGCAGATTAGTACCTTAATGAGGAAAGCAAGGTCTTTTTTCAGGAGAGGGTTTCTCTGTTTAACAGCTCTGGCTGTCCTGGAACTCCCTCTGTAGATCAGGCTGGCCTTGAACTCACAGAGATCCACCTGCCTCTGTGAGTGCTGAGATTAAAGGCCTATGCTACCACCTCCTGGTGAAGATGGCAAGGTCTTAATAGCCATGAGAGACAGTTCCTGGACCCAACTGAAACTTCAAGACTTTAGCCTAGCTTCCTCCTCTATAAGACAAAAATAATAGCCATAGCCTTGTTTAGTTTTCACAGCTATTTCAAGAGGCTAAGCTACTTTTACTGCTTATGAAAAATGGGATTCTTAAGCCTTCCATTATTACATAAAAATTCTAAAAGGTAGAAACTAAGAAGTCTTTAGACAAGTGTATGTAACACCTGTATGCTGGGCGAGGGCTTGCTGGGAGCCTGTGCTCCGTGGATGGGATCGTATTCCACATCCAGTTGTCTCCACAGTGGAGGCCAGGGAGATAGAACATGCAGTTTTGTATCCCAGCTTCATGATACCTACATTTTCTTGTTACGCATCCCTCCATAATGACAAGGTCTCTACCCGCCATTGCTGCATGTTTGATACAAAGATTTTTTTTGGTGTGCTGTTTCCCAGCAAGCAGTGCACTTAGAGCATCCAGACACCGGCTCCAGCCTGTGTGACACAGGCACTAAATAGCAGAGATAAGTTATGGTTGTGATGCAGGTGGTGAACTTTGGAGCTCCAGGAGACTGGATACTGTGTAACCCAACCTCTTTATTTTAGGGTGACATGATTAGATGCAGCAATGTCTTGTATTCATCTGTGGGTTTGATTTTTCTATTTTTTTTTAAAGGTTACAGTATGTATTCCAGGCTGGCTTTGAACTTATAACCCTCATGCCTCAGGTTTCTCAATTCTGGGATTATAATGTCTACCAACATGCTTGGTGTAATGCTGATATTTTCTGACTTTATTATTTTTAATGTATTTTGTGGGCATGTGTGGGTACATATAGAGGTCAGAGGACAACTTTAAAAAGCCCATTGTCGTCTTCTACTGTGTGATTCCTAAAGACAGGACTCAAGTTGTCAGGCTAGGCAGTAAATACAGTTACCTGCCATTGAGACTGGTAACTTGAGTCTAATTATATGGTAGAAGGAGAGAACTGGCTCCTGCAAGTTTTCCTTTGACTTAGACACACGTGCACTATGGCATGCACATACAATGCCCAAGCACATACAACATACACAGAACCATAAATAAGCTTTGTAATTGGAAAGAAAATGAAATATTAACATTTTGGCATTTTCTTTAAAAAAATTTGATGTTACAATGGACATTTCTGTGATATATTTTTTTCTAGAATCAGAAATGAAGAATGGTGAACTGCTTCGAAGAAGTAAAGGCTTTTTGATACATGTTGGTGGTCTTTGCCCCTCTGTATCTGAGGTATGTCTAGAATTTCTTGGGGGGCAGTCTTCAGTTTAAAATTTATAAATTATTGTGATATCTTTTCACCTTTCACAAACTTTAATTTTTTCTTCTTTTAGGCTGATTTAAGGACTCATTTCCAGAAATACCAAGTTTCTGAAATTTCAATTGATGATTCTACTAATTACAGGTATGCTACCAAATTCAAACTGTGCATTACTGTATGTCTGCTGTGCAACAGATGCAGTTGGATATGTCAGGAGCCACTCCCGGGGGAGACCCAGGCGGAACAGATAGTGGCAGTAGTTACGCTGGCTAGTCCAGACTGTTAAGTCTGTTTCAGAACCCTGGCTGCTGAGATTACAGCATGCACAGTCACAGATGGCCTCTTTACCATACATATGAGAGTTAACTGATTTTTGTGCCATTTCATAGCAGAAGTGAGTACATCAGTTATGAAGATATACTCAAGAAACAGGACTGTTGCTGGGCGTTGGTGGTGCACCCCTTTAATCCCAGCACTCAGGAGGCAGAGGCAGGCGGATCTCTGTGAGTCCGAGACCAGCCTGGTCTACAGAGCGAGTCTCAGGACAGCCAGGGAAACCATCTTGAAAAACCAGAAAAGAAAAAAAGAATGAAAAAAGAAATAGGACTGTTTCAATCCCCAACTCCTTCAGTAACTTGAATTAATTTGAATGAGTTACTTGACCTCTCTGAGTTGTAGCTTCTTTGTAAAATGAGGATAAGGATAATAAATAGATTTGTTGTTATATGCTGTTGTCACACTAGGAGTTGACTATGTAAAGCACTAGGAGAAAAGACAGAAAGTTGGCTTGGAAGGGAGTATTGAACTCAATTATTTCTGACTTTAATTACTTTTGCATTGTTTTATATTTTTAGGTAGGTGGCTGCATTACCCATCTATGTATGCTTTTTTTTTTTTTTTTTTTTTTTTTTGTGTGTGTGTGTGTGTGTGTGTGTGTGTCTACTTTCACATTTATAGATTACTCAGAGTATCCAGTTACAGTGATAATTACTTCATGGAGACACTTTACTGTTCTGTCATGAAAATGATAGCTGTTAATTTCAGAGGTCAAGATTTACATAATTAAGAGGGATTTTGCTTGTGGTTAGAGACTTAAATTTGTAAAAGTTGGTGCTAGTTTTCCTAATTGTAGTCACTTAGATTGTGTCCTTTATATGATACGTTGATAGTATGTTAATGTATTTTTTTCATGTTAAGCTATGGTTGCATCTCTTAGGAATATTATACTTTGTGTCTTTTTGTTTTTTGGTATCTTACTGAATCCTTAAAAATCTTAGGTTTTTTTCTTCCTTAAAATAGAATTTTTGTGTATAAATTTAGAAAAAGCAGTTAAATATAAAAATATAAGGATATTTTAAAATTGTATCCATAGTCACATCATTTAAAAAGACAAAAAAGTTGCTTAAGATTTGGTGTACATGCTTCTGTTAATACTGTATACAGCTGTTGGCTTAGCAGGTACAGCTCTGGCCCAGCTTTCTCAATTACATATTTAAAATTCTGACTAGATTGTCTAACTTTTTATCGACATAGTTTTTCACTTCGGACTATAAATGTATTTTCATATATTCTGCTAAATATTTTCCAGTTTTGCCTTTAATGTTTAAGCCTTCCAGCCACCTGGAGTTTATATTTGTACGTAAAAATTAACTTTCATTTATAGAATGTATAGCCACTTGGCCCTAGGCCTCAGATTTGTACAAATATATATATTAGACTACAGTTTTAAACAGTAAATTTTAATGTAATTCTTAATTATTATAGGTTATCCTATTTCCCCTTTCATTTGTCCTGAATAATCACCTACTCATTTGGTGGTGAATGCCTTCAATACTAACCCTTGAGAGGCAAAGGCAGGTAGATCTCTGTGAGTTTAAGGTCAGCCTATTCTACCAAGCAAGCTCCAAGACAGCCAGGACTAAATAAAAGAGAGACCCTGACTCACAAAACAAAAATCAGAAATAACAAACACACCTACTTACCCCAGCAAGTTTAAGAACCTTTTTAAGAGTAGCTAGCTGTTGTTGTGAAAGCCATCTTAGTTTTTACAAGAGTTAAGTTGGAACTGGTCATTAACAAAGACCCTTTTGGTTGTCTTCTCTGGTGTTTTAGATATGCATCTCTTGCTTTTGCAAAAAATAGTAATGCCAAGATGGCTGTGAAGGAAATGAATGGTATAGAAATCAATGGAAAATCAGTGAACGTGAGGCTTGTGAAAATTCCTGGAGAACACACACCACCGCTTTTGTCCAAAACTGGGAATGGCACTAGTGTGAATCCTTTGGAGAAAAATCCCAACAAAGAAGGCACCTTGGCCTCTTCTGCTTGTAGACTGTCCAGAGCTAGACCAAGGCAGCTGGAGTCTGAGCAAGACAGTGAGTTTCCTCCCTTGGACCAGGTTAGTTTTCCTAATTGATTAGTTGTGACTTGTGTGCTGCTGGAAGTGCCATTGTAATGACAGTAGTGTCAGTCCTCGGGTTGGCACAGCAGAACAGTAAGATGGCTCTTATCTTGGTTCCACCCTAACCTGCATTTGCACAGCTGCAGTTCCTCTTCTGGAGAAATCTACATGTCCCCACCTGGCTTTGGAGAAACAGGTTCTTTTTGCTGGCTTTACTGCTGTCTGTCACAGTCTTTGTTTCTTTATTTTTGGACAGTTCCACTCTAGCAGTCATTCTTCTGTCAGTATTGCTTCATTTTTTGTTTTTATTGATTTTTTATTTTTTTATAGTAACCTTACCTTATACCCTTATACCTTAAACCCTCATCTTCACTCCATTACAGTTTTAAATGCTTCCTGGAATGTGATAGTTTCACTCAACAAAATTTGGTATCCAGTGGGGATAGCATAATTTTTATGTGCAGTAAAACTCACTGTTGTTGTTGTTGATAACTAGATAGACGCACTTAGGCAAGTCCCCAGCACTAACCTGAGTGGACGGTCCTGGCGTTCCCAGAGCACTCTCCTGTGCTGTTCCACTGTCCTCCCCAGCCCTTCCTGACTCTTGGTCATCCCACCACACCTTTAGACACTTTGGTGACTGCATTTCCATTCAGACTTTGTCTGTTGGTAGTACCCACAGCCCTTCCTAAGCCCAGCAGGGTCTCATTTGCATTCTTGAACTTAACCCTTCCTTGTCCTGTGTTTTTATTGCCAAGCCTCTCTATATCCATTGTCTTCATTTATTTGATCATTTCATTTCCTGTAATCTGACTTCAGTCTCTAAAGTTCAAGAGTGACCTCACTAGTGGTCTTTCCTCCACCTGCTGCCTTCTTGAACATCTGGCTTCTTTGACAGTGGCAGTCCCTGTTAAAATGCTCCCTTTCCCTGGGGTTGGGGATAGGGGCACATATTGTTAATCCCAGCACTCAGGAGGCAGAGGCAGGAGGATCTCTGAGTTTGAGGCCAGCCTGGTCTCCAGAGTGGGTTCCAGTTCAGCAGGGCTACACAGAGAAACCTTGTCTCAAAAAACAAAACAACAACAATAACAAAAACCACCCCATTCATTTCCCTGACACTTAATATTTAGGGTGGGTTTTAGTCCACAGTAGGAAAGGAGGAAAGGGGATTTCCTGGGAGCTGAGGCAGATGTTTGGGAACTATGGTCTTCCTCCCTCTACTCTACACAAGCACTTTACTGTTGGGTCAGTCAGCTCCTTCTGTGTCTCTCTTCGTGTGGGGTTTCTGTGCTTATGGTTGCAGTAACCCACTTCATGTAGCTGTAGCATTTCTAATCAGGCTCTGATTATTTGACTAAATTTGTTTACTCCATGTTCAAGTTCTACAGGCAAGAATCTACTTGACCTGGCCTGTGAGCCTCATTCTCATTAGCCTGAAGACAGCACTCTTTGGTCCAGTCAACTGGGGCTGTGGGCATTGGGGTTGGCAGAGGGCAAGTGTAAAGAACATGCTGCAGGGTACTGGAGAGATGGGCTCGGTGGTTAAGAGCACTGACTGCTCTTGCAGAGGACCTGGGTTCAATTCCCAGCACCCACATGGCAGCTTACAACTGTCTGTAACTCCAGTTCCAGGGGACCCAACACCCATGGCAAAAAAACACTAATGCCCATAAAATTTTTTAAAAAATGTTTGAAAAAAAAAAAAGAACATGCTACAGGCTCTGGGTGCAAGTGTGTGAAGCTCCTGTTGCCAGCTTTGATATGCTTTTTAGTTCTCTTGCCTTTCTAGATGCTCTTGTACCCCTTTGTTCATATTTTCAACATTTGCTTAGGGCATCAAGAAAAATTGTAACCAGATTGAATCTTCTCGGTTATTACCTGAGACACCTGTTCACTTCATACCTCCAAATACATTGAACCTTCGTAGCTTCACCAAGATCATGAAGAGACTGGGTGAGCTGCACCCAGATATCAGCAGGTACTAACTAGAGTTGTGACTTAATTTTATAGTTGCATGGGCAGTGTAGTTGCTTGAGAAGCAGAATTGCTGTCTGTTTTCCTCTTGTATAGAGACCACATCATCGAGGCTCTTCAGGAAGTAAGGATAAATCATAAAGGTTTTCTGAATGGTTTGTCCATCAACACCATTGTCAAAATGACTTCATCTTTTCTGAGAAATTCTGCTTCCGTTAGGAATAAATGAAGCTATATAGAGGTAATGTAGTTGTATGCTTTTATACTTAGATATTAAAGATTTTAGTTTCTTACATAAAACTATTGGTCTTAAATTGAAACAGCAATACAAGAGTAGAATATTACATTTGAAAACATGTTAGTTGACTGTTGATTTAGATCCAGTGTATTGGTTACTTTGCTCATGTCTGACCGAAACAATGTATAGGAAGGAAGGTCTGCTTCAGCTTCTTGTTTCTGAGGATATAGTCTGTCATGGTGGGGACAACGTGCCAGAAAGGCTCCGTGGTGGCAGAGTGTGTAGGTGAATCCTTTACATCATGGCCAAACCATGAAGCAGAGAAATAAACACTAAGGTTCAGGCTGGGACCTTCAAAGGCCCACTCCCCTCTCCACCCCCACCCCACCCCCAGTTACCCACTTTAGCCAGCCAGACCCTTCTAGATAGCACTGCTTCCAGGCAGATGGCATCATGGTTAAATTCATCAAGGGTGTATGTTTTCAAATAATTGCAAATTGTACAAAGGAGAACATGGGCTAGAAAGTTCGTGGTGCAGGGGTGTGCAGTATCTCAAAGACCTCAAAATGAGTGTGACTCAACACCTGGCTCTACCAGATTCCTCTCAACTGCAGTAACTTTACTACTGTGATGCCACTGGTATGTGACAGCTGGTGGCCTGTTTTCTGCAACTAATTTAGTATTTAGTTAGTGATAAGATTCATCATGACTAGACTAAAAGAAGGCAGTGGTGGCTCACACCTTTAATCCCAGCACTCAGGAGGCAAAGTAGGTGGATCTCTCTGAGTTCAAGGCCAGCCTGGTCTATGGAGTAAGTTCCAGGACAGCTAGAGCTGCATAGTGAGACTCTGTCGTGAAAAAAAAAAAAAAAAGTGCATACAATGTACAAGTGAGTTATAAAATGAATGGTATAGTAATAAATAATACTGCTAGCTAAGTTTTTCTGGAACATGGTATTTGGCATGATCAGCACATTTTATTGTTGGTTTTTCTCTGTGTTCTTGATCCTCCAGAAAATCCTTGGAAAGTATGAGTTCCTTTCATCAGAGAACATTCTACAGCACTTAGGAAAAGTTGTGGTTATACAATCAAACAGCCTCTAAAATTGGACCTAACACTTTAAGTATTCCAGTTGATAGTCCTCCTTTAAAATCTGGCAACAACAGATATACCTATAGTATTAAAATCTGCATGTTTTGTTAAGTTTATAAACTTAATTTCAGAATTATTACTCAAAACTTCAATTTATTTTGAATTAGAAAAAAAGGTGGTCATGTCCATTTATAAGTCATCATTAATAAGTCCATTTAAAAAGTACTGTCCAGAAAAAAAAGTTTAGTGTACTGTTTCAAAGTTCTTTGTGTTTGTAAAAATTATGTAAAATTTTTTACATAATTCCATATATGTAAAAATGGGATTTTTCTGGAGCTCACTTTGTAGTTTCAGCTTTTAAGACTCGATTAGATGGTGGGGTACAGATAGTTTATCTGAGTTCAGTGTGTGCAGAGATAATTACACTGCTTGCCATGCACTAGTGTGCTTTGACGACAGAATAAAGCATTCAGATATGTTTTCCCAAGTGTGCGGGGGCAAAGTCCTGAAATTTAAAAGTCCTCCTATTCTGGCCGTGTTTTACTAAGTTCTGATGTATTTGAGTGTAAGTTGGAACATTTTCAAAGGCTGATGTGGTTCCCTATCTTCTCACACTCATTTACACTGGCTAAAACTACATTTGTTCTGATAATAACTTAACATTTAGTACTTTTTCAAATGTTTAAACTGTTTCTATCCAGTACTTCATTGTTGTTGCTTGATTAAAAATTACCCATTAAGCATTTATTTATTTGATGTCCTTGTGTTTAATAAAGGTAATCAGTTGGTCTATAGTTCAGTCTGACTCTCTACAAGTCGGAGTTTCTTAGTGTCAGTCACCTACCAGTGTTTATGTAGATACATACAATGGTAACTACCAGCTCAAGATTTTCCTTTTATTTTAATCATTATTTTGTCTCATTTATTTCCAGATTTACTTCACATATCTGCCAAGAATTAGATTCCTCTGTATGTGTATACCTAACTTCAAAAGTAATTGGTTTGACCCACGTATTAATTTAGTAGAATTATAAAATCATGGGGGTAGGTATTCTCTACATATAAAATCATATGCATTAATATATTTGGAGAAATTAGCATATCTGTAGTCATTTGTTTCTAAAGAAGAATAATCAAATATGAATCTTTTAGAATACATAAAGGCAGAATAAACTACATTTCATTGGGGAGAAATGTAGTATGGGCATTTCAAATAACATTCAGGGGTTTGGAGTTCGGAAGTCCTTTCTAGTAACTAACATAGAGATCTGGCAACTGTGTGCACCAAAGCGCTCTCAGCAGCACCTAGAAGGAAGGGTCCATTGTAGCTCACAGTGGACAGTCCTTCATGGTGGGAAGTCAAGGCAGCAGGAGCTTGAAGCTCTGGTCACATCACTGCAGTCAGAAGAGAGCAGTGCGTGCTCTCCTTAGCCTACTCTGTTTCACACAGGATGTTGTTCGTCCAGGGAGGTCCCACCTACAAGTAAAGTGGATCTTTTCACATCCTTTAACCCAGTCAGTGTGCTCCCTCATGTTTGCTTAAGGCCCAGCTTCCAGGTGATTTCAGATTGTGTCAACTTCAGTTAACAAGAACCATTGAAATAAGATGTTCTGTGTATCTTTGCCTCCATTTTCGGTCTTGGGGGGAAAGTTACATGAGAGTCTCCTTGAGTTATGTAAACTCTGCAGGCTGCTAATAAGGACACAGAACTGACTTCTCATGACATGGTGCTTGTTTTCTTTATCCTGTCCTCTGCCTGTGGTGGCTCTTCAGTGCTTTTTGGAGGTCTGTGGCCTTGACATGTGTTGGTTATTCTATAGACTTGACTTTTCACCTGGTTACTCACCCAGAAGCCTGTCTCCTCTCTGCTCAAGCACGTGTGTGACCCTGACCTCTCAATTAAGAGGTCTTTCTTCTGTAATGGGGGGCAGGCTTTGAAGCATTATGAGAATCTAAAATTCCTGCTTACTGGTTCCAGTACCCATCCTCCAGTGTCTGCAGTGGAGACTGGCTCTTCATTACTTCTGTGTGGACACTCCTCACACTGCTTAGCAATGTTAGGACAGTGTGAAGCCAGTGTTTGCTCTCTGGGTTCAAATGCATCAGTTGAGTCTTGCACTGTTCGCATTATGCCAGTGTTAGCACTTAATTCCTGTAGGGTGGGTTCTGTTTTCTTCTGAATTCTTGGTTTCTGCCACCACAGGACCTTTCTGTTCATTAGGATGTTAACTATCTGGTCTTATTTCCGTATTTCCCATAGGCCCCTAGCCAGCCTCTGTCTGTCTCCCAGCTTTTCTCAGTCTGTCCCTGCTCTCTGCTAAGTGTTGCACTGGCGGGGTGAGGGTGGGTGCATGGGGGAGGCTGGACTAAGAGCAGCAGGGACATGTGATTTCTTATCTTACTCAGTTGCTTTGCCGCTCCTGAGTTGTCCCTGAGCACACCACTTTCTGTCAGATGGACAGTTCACTTGAAGATTTTCATTTGCTTTTCCCTGGGGTGCATTTGAGGGACTGAAGCTCTAAGCTCCTTGAGAGCCCTGAGGATTTGGGTTTTAACTGCAGCTCCCTTGAGGGCTTGACAAGCTGATGCTTGAAGCTGAGTGTTCCCGAGATGCCTTCTGTTAGTCCTTATCGAACAGCTGTGCTTCAGAAGGACTGATTGATTGTGACTGGGCAGAGTGGCCTGCTGCTGGCCATTGGAAAGTGGCAGACTCATAACAGTTGGCCCTCTTCCCACCTGTACTTGAAGGCATCCCCTTGTTTGCTTGTGACACTTTCCTCTGGCTGCTGTTGAGGTTTCCTCTGTTACTGGCATTGAACAATTGCATGTGCTGTACCTTACTGTATTTTCCTCATGACTCTTGTATTTGGGTTTGTAGCTTGATATCCTTGGGTTTGTAGCTTCTTGGGTATATTTCACACTCTTCTTCCAGGACTACTGTCACATAAATGAGGCCACTCGAAGTGGGGTCACAGTCCTCTGATGTGTTGTTTTTTTATTTTATAAGCCTGTTGTGACTGCCACGGTTACATGGAGCTGTGTGCTGTGTGACAGTCTTGCTGTCAAGCTCCTTCAGGTTGCTCTAGAGCTGCGTCTTTTTCCTGGGCCTGCGGCAGTCCTGCTCTGACTGCTCTGCTGCTCTGGGTACTTGTGGTTTCCCTCCGTGGTGGTGGGAAGGGGACTGTTCCAGACTGAGTAAGCTCTTTGGTTTTTCCTCAGCTCAGATAGTGTCTTTACGTACACATGTGAAGCCTGCGCTCTGGAACGCTCCCTCGTGCCCTCCCTCACAGCTCTCTCTTACATTCCTTAGATTGATTCCCTGGACTCTGGCTTTCCTCTGGAAAGTTAGTGGGCAGTCCCAGGCTGCGCTGTTTCTATTCTCAGGAACGCTCCCTCGTGCCCTCCCTCACAGCTCTCTCTTACATTCCTTAGACTGATTCCCTGGACTCTGGCTTTCCTCTCCCTACTGTGATCTGGAAAGTTAGTGGGCAGTCCCAGGCTGCGCTGTTTCTATTCTCAGGGCTCCCTGCACTGTCCCTGTGACACTTGCTGAGGCCTAGGTACTTTACAATGTACCTGTGGGAACTTTGTGTCCACTGAAGATGCACCGACCTGTAGACGGACTTACTTCCACCATTAATGCCATCAAGCATTTAGCCTCTCTGCCCTTCCTGTCTAACCTACTGTCAGCACATGGACCTCCCTGGGGGAGGGAAATCTAACACTGCTGCTTACCAGTTAGCAGTGAGTAAATCTCATAGACTTGAAGGGGCCAGCCTGTTGTCACAGGGCAGCCTCACTAGGGCCAAGTGTCAGAGTTGCTCCTTCATGTGTGAATTGGGAGAAACTCACAGCAATTGCTGGGGAACCTCTAGGGCTAGATTCTCAGCAACGGACATGAAAATAAGAACCACCTGCCTAAAAGGCAGGGCTCAGCAGTTTCCCAGCACCGACCTGTAGACGGACTTACTTCCACCATTAATGCCATCAAGCATTTAGCCTCTCTGCCCTTCCTGTCTAACCTACTGTCAGCACATGGACCTCCCTGGGGGAGGGAAATCTAACACTGCTGCTTACCAGTTAGCAGTGAGTAAATCTCATAGACTTGAAGGGGCCAGCCTGTTGTCACAGGGCAGCCTCACTAGGGCCAAGTGTCAGAGTTGCTCCTTCATGTGTGAATTGGGAGAAACTCACAGCAATTACTGGGGAACCTCTAGGGCTAGATTCTCAGCAGCGGACATGAAAATAAGAACTATCTGCCATGTACTACAAGGCAGGGCTCAGCAGTTTCCCAACACTGACTTGCCTCGTGTGTCTGTTGACCCTGGTAGGGTCTTCATAAGG